CTTCATGATAATTTCCACAGTAGACTCTTTCCACTAGTTTCCACCTGCTCTCAGAATTGGGTAAAAACAAACACTATCAGGCCTATCTAAGTCCAAGCCTGGCACAGCATGCTTTGTGCCCTTGACCTCGTTCTTCACTCAGATCACACACTTCTTGGACCTAGGCTCTCACACCTGCACACCTTCATGTGTGCTGTTCCTCATCTGCCTCTTTTCAGTCTTCACAGTTCCACTTACACATGTTTCAAGAAACTACTTTCTTCCTGGATTGTCAGTTGCTCACTGCTGAAGCCATCATTTTTCTCTTGTGTTAGGACTTAAGACACTATGAAATCAAGCCACTCTTTTGTCTGTCTTCTCCACTCTTGAGCTCTAGAAATGCAAAGGCTTTTCCTATTCTTCTGTGTCCATTGTGCTGAAGACCCTCATTTTATATTGTCTGGATTATGGGGAAAATGTTGAGAATACACAGTGAGCAGTTCTCCACTGTGGTAACTTTGCACCTTGGAGAAATTTAGCAGTGTCTAGAATTCTTGGGAGCTATGACTGGCATCTTGTAGGTAGAGAGTGCAGATGCTGTTAAATATTGTTACAATCCCTGGAACAGTTCTTATCCCAATAGAGAATGACCTGGCCTCAACTGTAGGAGGTCCTAATCTAGTAAATGTTAAAGTCTAACTGGAATGTAGCAAGTTGCCAGGTATAACTTGTCTTCTTTTCAGTTCTTTAAGTATGACTATGCCCAAGGTAGAGACTGAGCTGGTGAAATACATTTCACAGATTAGCTATTCTTGATATCTTCAGTCTAATAGGGAAGGGATTGGGAAGTAAGCCTTATCCTGCCCTGATGTGTACTAGGAAGCACTGCAAGCCCTGCTCCATGTATATTCTGAACAGATACCCCAAAAGATGCATTATAAGACTGATATGATTCATACCCATCATTAAATTACTTGAAGCCCCACACCACTCACCTAAGAAGTGGTAGTAAAAGGGTTTAAACCTCGAGTTAAGTGATTCCACCATCCGTGTTCTTCCCTTGAAGTATCTCTGATAGGGTATGCACAGATGCTCCCATAAAAACAGACCCCACAGGGTGCAGTGAGATCAGGACTATAAGAGGGACAAACAGCATAGAGGTTGGGGTGCAGTCAAGACAGGCTATGAGGAGGAGATGGGATTCAAGATGCATTTTATAGGCTGTATAGAGTATATGGATAAGCAATATGAAATGTTTCAGACATGGAGAGAAGGAGGAATGCATGTTAGAAATAGAGCATGCAATCCTTCTGGCCAGATGGTAGGGGCTGACAGTTAATAACCAGAGCATCTGTTTTGAGATAGATATGGTACAACAGGGAGAGATGCAGACATTTGAATTAAATGATTCCTACCTCATATAGGCAGAATGACTTTGGCCAAGTTAGTTAACCTTTTTGTGCTTTAGTTTCTTCCGCAAGCCAGAACTATCCGCTTCCGAGGGTTTTATGGAGTTAATGAAGATTGAAGCACTAATCCGTGCTTCTTAAGTGTGAGAGATGTGAAGTAATAGTTTAGATCTACTTATTTTTGTTTGTGTCATCACTGTAAATTTGACAATGATAAAGATCCACAGATATTTTCTGGGCAGGGAAAAAACATGATAAGAGCAAAACCTTAAAGCGGTTAGCATGTCACTAGGTGAAATGGAAAAGAGGGTAAGAGCGAAGCGGGGGTGGGATAGGAGACATAAACGAGAAGCAGAAAGAAAGGAAAAGAAGAAATGTTGATGCATTGGCCCAACTTGGCACCTGAATGACTTCACAAGATTTTCAGAAGGGACAGTGATGACCTGGATTCCAAATTGGATGTTGGAGAGAACATGTGATCATTAAGGAGAGAAGTAGGTGATGATTCTGGAGTGCCAGAGCAGCATCCTGGCAGAAGCAACTCGAAGGCAGAGGAGTTTCAAGTGTGGAACTTTGCAAAGAAGCCAGAGCTGAAGAGAAAAGTAACAGCTAGTGGCAGTGGTAGAGGAAATCACTAAGGGGAGGGAGAGAAACAGCGGAGACAATAAATCACAACTCTTGAGGGACTGTTTCATCTGGAGGCAGGAAAAGAAGACAAGAACTTTCCAGGGAAAGAGCAAAATGACTGTGGAGAGATCCAGAGCACAGGACTGTGAACACCAAGACAGAGTGCATTCACAGGCGAGGGTGGTGAACAGTGTTGAACATCATGAAGAGGCCACAGAAGACAAAGGCTCAGAATTGGTCATGGGTTTGCAGTCCCCATTTCTGTCATGTTCTGTGGGTAAAACCATGTCACAGAGGTTGGACAGAAGAAAAAAAGGCAGTCGTGTATGGGGACAGCAGGGCTGAAGTAATGTTTGATGATAATTTTTCAAGATGGGGGAGAAATGAATATATTTGTTGAGAGAAGCAAAGCCTATAGACAAAGAGATTGTTGATGAAGAGTTGACGGAGATATGACTTGCAATAAACAGCTAAGCAAAGTTAGGACAAGGGCTTGAGTTGACTTTGGAGGAGAAAAAGAGAAACAGAAAGAAATAGATTTGATGTGCCAAGGGGGAAATAGAGGCTCCAGCATTTTCATCAAGTAGGATCTAAGCATGTTAGGAATGGAGTGGAGCGCTCTGTTTCAGGACAGGATGTGAAAGGAAGCCAGTCCGCTCTCCAGTTTTCATTCCCACCCAGGTGTATGAAAATCTAGCAGCTTTCATGCATGATAAAACTAAAGATGCAGCCACTACCCCAACTGCACACACACTCACTTCAATTTTGTTTGTGCTATAGCTCAGAATAACTTCTATCCTTAGACAAGGTGTCTGGTCATTTCAACAGAAAGAGCTGCCTCCTGCGTGTTGCGTACCAGGATCTCCAGCAGACCCACCCATGTTGTTGTGTCAGTCACAGTACACATCAGATCTGTTAGAGCAGCCACTGCCTTTCCCCGTCAGCATGGCTGAGCATTGCCTCCATGTGCCCCGATACCAGCCACAACCACAGCAACCACAGCAGACAGACCTCAGGTGTCGGACCAGCAATCAGATTCTGCCAAAGGGATGGGAGGAAAGAGAGAATGAGAATGAAAGTACATATATCCCACCTCTTTCTGGGATGACCCGGCTTCTGCCTCCTCCCTTGACCCTAAAGAGACCCAGCTCCCCCTCTTCCTTGTCTCCCTTAGACACACATTCTTTTCTTCATATTAGCTGAATTCTTTGCTTTTCCACTGTGTGAGACCTCGGTCTTCACAACTGAATAACACCAGCAGCATTGTTGAGGCAAGAGAAAAGCAGAGAAAGTACATTTTCCTCTCACTGAAAACAATGAGCCCTGGAAGTATTAGTGTTACTTTGTAGGTAGGGTGAGGAGATAGAAAGGGAGGGACTGACTTTGACTTCCCGATTCCAAAAGTGAAGCAGGAAAGGAGAAAGAAAGAAGTGGGCAGTCTGTGTAGGCCTGTGGGAGAAAGGAGTAAGGAGCACACTGCTGCCAGCCAGATACAAGGAGCTCAAGGGGCCGCAAGAAGCTTGCATTCTGTGCAGACCCAAAAGGAGCAAGACATCAGTATTCTGTACCATAGAGGAAAAGAAGATCAGACCAAAAAGAGGAAAAAAGGTCAAAAGGTGTCAACCCACAAAAGTGGGCATCACTGTGCATTTGTTTGGAGAATGAAGGCAGTGTGCATGGTCCAGAACCGGGCTGGTGGATATGTGCAGTGTCAGTAGAGGTGACCAGCACCAGATAGGACACCATGCTGTATCTGGCCTCCTGGCCCTTAGGCTCTGCACTTGGGCCTGCATTTCAGAGTGGACATTCAGCCAGTGAAAGGACCTGAGCAGTGATGTTTAGGAGAAGAGGAAGCATGTTATTCTCTTACCTCCCTTCATAGAAGATGTAAGTCCTTCGGGCTTCCTTAGTCTCATCTGTAGGGAAAGAGCCTTGGCTTTGTTGATGCTTTGAGCTCTAAAGCTCTTATTCCAGAGCACTTCCAGACAGGCTGCTGCTTCCTTGTATATTCTCTGCCCCAAGGTTAGCAGGGACCCTGGGGTAGCTGTGAACAGTTTATAAGACAGGGCTTATATACTGACAGAAATGAGGGTCATGCAGAAGAATCCCCTGGCTGAGCACAGGGACACAGTCTTCCTCAATTAGGAGAAGGATATAAGGGGTTTTTTGTTAATATTTTTGCCAAGTTTGTGCAAAATTGCTTAGCACCTTCCTGCCAGTGACTGTCACTACCATGTTAGGTAAAAACAGGTTCAGGCTTTGTTTGCAGTCACTGCAGCATCTGGAGAGGGTGGATGCAGGTGACACAAAGGAGCAGGCCATGGTTTGTTGAAGGAGTGTCACTTCTCATCATCTCCAGATTTCCTTGTTAATTCTTTGACATAATGTGTCAGAAGTAGGAAAGACTCCCAGGAACAGGCGGGATGCCTAGTGGCAGCTTCCACAGGAAGGCTGGGCTTCACGCTGCCAATCTTATTGTTTCCATTCTTCCCAGGCTTCACGTGCTATTCCTTTGCTCTATGTCTATTTGCTCTGTGCAGTTAAACCACATTTTACTGAGGAGATGAAGGTCGGGTTAGGAGCAGTACCCAAGAGTATGTTGCATTGTTTGTGTAGAGAGATTAATTGTCATCTACTACATTTCATTTACTCTTGGAACGTTCTCAAAATATTACCCAATCCACAGACAAATGCTGTGCAGTGAAAGGACTGCTCACACACACAACTCGGAAAAAGCTTTTTGTTAAAAACCTAAATAACATCTTGTGTCAAAACAAATGTGACAATGGGCTATTATTTCTCATCCCATAATAGCATGTTGTCATGTCTTTGTGTTCTGCATGAATGAGGGATTGGAGGCAGTGTGGGAAGGGGCTGGCCGTGGGGGGAGGTATTTTGAAACCCCAGGAAACACTGTGTGGTTCTGTATTTTCTAAAGTAGGCAACGGCTCCTTGGGAAGGTAACTCAGAAGTTAATCCCCACAGGTGCCCGGCCACAGCCTCGTGTTCATTTCCAAAGAAGGGCTCTGCGGTTGCCTGAGAACACAAGCTACAGCGACCTCACTGCGTTCCTCACAGCCGCCAGCTCTCCCTCGGAGGTGGACAACTTTCCGTACTTGCGAGGCTTAGATGGAAATGGAACAGGTAAATGGAGTCTCTTCACATTTGAGGTGGGAATTCTGTGTTCTAATCTAGTGATTATGGACGTGTCTGCAGGGTTAGCAGCAAGCGGAAAGAGAGCCACACATTGCAGGAGGAGAACACAGGCCACCGGTGCTTCGGTTCACCCTGCATGGCACAGGATTTCGTTTTAGCCAAGTGTCTTCCTTGAGCCTCTGTGGCTACCAGCTACTAGAATCACCTTCACCGGACTTTTCTCTGGTGGACTGAGTATGTTTAATTCAGAGAACGATTTATAACCAAGTTATAAATTATAATTATGTTTAAATATGAGATAGATAGAAGATGACCTCTGCCACGTTCCATTGCCCAGTCGCCCTGGAGGAGAGGCACAGCCCTGCCACACCGCCTTGCACGCACTGGTGGCAGAAGGCAGTGCACCTCTCATCCAGCACTGGGCAGGCATGTTCCCCCCGCCTTCCCCCACAGCAAAGAGGGCCCGTAGAAGTTGAAACCTCTGTCTCCTGAATCTTTCCTCTCTGTACTCACTTTCCCTTTTTGTCTTTCCTGTCAGAATATCAGAAGAGGAAGGGTTCCAAAGGGGGTTTGCTTGGAGGGTCAGAGAGTGGCCAGGCTTTGAAGTTGATCTAGAATCTTCCTCTGGTAGATCTCTAACTCAGCTCTGTCACTGTCACTATTCTAGCGTGACACATAACAGCTACAAGATCAGAGAAGCAAAAACCACTAACAGAAGAGAGGTGATAGCATCTTATCAGAGAGATTGCAGACATGTGCCCCCCCCCTCCACACCTCACACAGACTCCACACAGCACTTGCTAACAGGCTTTCGAGTTCCCAGAGAGGGCCAGGATCTGGGGGTCCTGAGTTGGCTTCTTGTCTGTTCTCCCATTCATTCCCTGTGTTTTAGAATAGCCACTGCATGTAATTGAAAACCAGAGGTTTTTCTGTGTAAAATCCTACTAGGTGAGTAAATTACTGCATTACTGCAGTGAAACTGTAGTTTCATTGAATTTCACTTAATTTTCCATTATTTTGCATGAACTGATAATTTTTGGCTGGGGTAGGGGTGGAAGGTTGAATCTGAATCATCTGATCCATTTTACAGCATGTTAATAAATTTGTTTTTAGAGATTAATTTGGCCTAATGATTTCTTTACTTTTATACCTTCTGTGGTACATATTTTAAGAAATTTTTCTTCCTTAACTATTCTGTACTGTTGAGACAGTTTACATGTCAGGCATTTGCATACAGACAGATGTATAGTGGTCAAATTTAGTAAACATTCTTGGAAAAAATACTGACTTACTTTAAATGTGCAAAAGAAAAGCACTGCTCCAGGGAACAGGTGACATCCAGTTTGAGACCATCCCAACTCTCAGCCAAAATGAAACACAGTCATAAAACCCCAACTCCAAAGGACATCCTCATTCCTCAGAGCTCATTCATGTTTCTGTGTCCCACTTCCCATAATTCTTGAATAAATTATGAAATCTGAAGACTGGAGGAAGAACTCAAAGGACTATTGATTTTGTAGTTTTATTTTAAAATCACTCAATTGCAAAGAGAAGACAGAAAGTCTTTAGAAGGTAACATTAAACTTTTCCACTAAAGTAACTGATAAGTTGACCTAGAGAGAGAGTCAGACCTTCCCTGAGCCTTACCAGCAAAGGTATCCAGCTCACGCTATGCTCACAGGTGCCGAGAGATTCACCAGAGCTCAGGCTCTGCAGAACGTGAGATTCTACAGCCCATCAGCCCAGTGCCAGCCTCTAGGCATTGTGAACACAGCTTCTGTCCTGCTATACAAGGACGTCCCTCAAGCTTCAAAAATGGCTCTATGATATTTCAGCCAAGAGGAAGAGCTGGAACTAGATGTGTCTTTGTAAGATGACAGGTTATATCTAGTGGTCAACAGGGGAGCGATGGGGCAGAAACAGAGGAGACTACAGAAGAGATTGGTAGAGGGCGTCCTTGGAGTGTTGTAAAGACAGCTGTGTCCAGTTAGAAGAAATCTCTAGAGTTAGAAGTAGGGAAATGCAGCCAAATGGAGATTTCGGCCACTTCCCCACTTCTCTCTGCCACCTGGCTGCTCCATTAGCATCTTGCCAGCACAAAAGGTGCCCACTGGAATACAAGCTTTTACATATTCATTGTCATGTGTACAAGGAGTCCAGCATGTGTTATTGATCCCATCATCAAACTAAAATCAATGAAGGTACATGAAGTTATTTCTCAATCCTCTATTCTGTTCCACTGGCCAAGGAGTCTGTTTTTGTGCTAATACACAATGGAGTGCTCAGCCATAAAGAAAAATGGAAAATGGAAGGATCTTGAGACCCTAATATTAAAGTGAAGTAACTCAGAAGCAGGCTAAATATTGTATAGTTTCTCTATTGTGAGAGAACCATAATATAAATAATTTAAAGAGAAAAATAAAAGAGGGTGATAGGAAACAGGGAAGTAAATTCAAGATGGGAAGGAGGGAGAGGGGAGCACGCTGCTTCATGCTGGAAAACTCATTTCTGCAATGTAGCCTCCCACTTAGAGCTTACAGCTGAGATATCTGTCTCTGTGTGCTCAATAAGCCATCTAGTCCACCCTGGTTAGTTAAGAAAAGAAGAAAACCAGCACTAGAGGAGTGGAGTAACTTGCTGGGCCAGAACCGATTAGGAGTGCCGTCTGCCCAGGTCTGGCCAGAGTCGTGTATCATAGGAAAGGAGAATGGAAAGGTGACAAGACAGAAAAGATCTCTCTCTGTGTCTGTCTGTCTGTCTGTCTCTCTCTCTCTCTCTCTCTCTCTCTACCTTTCTCTCTCTCTCTCTCTCTCTCTCTCTCTCTTTCTTTCTATAATAGATAAAGTAAAAAGGGGGAATGCCTTTCTTACTTCATTCTCTCTCATTTCTTTCTTTTTGCCATGATGGACATTGACCCCAAGGCCTCACACATGCTAGGCAGATGCTTTATCCCTGAGTTACACCTACAACCCAGGGGACCCATTCCTGCTGTTTTCTCTACCATCTGCCTATGTTCCTATGCAAATGTTCTGCACAGGGGTTGCTAGAAGAAAACAAGTCTTCCTAAAAGAAAATTAAGTTGTTTATACAGAATCAAATAAACTATTAAATGTCTCTATAACTAAATTGAGCCATGTGCTGCCGACCTGGGTTTGTTATTGTGTCACTTTGAAATGATTGGCTCATATAAGGTATTTTAACAAGAAATATGCTAAATTCTGGGTTCTGGCTTTCCTTGTCTTAAAAAAATGGCAAGACTAAGAGATTTCTAAATTTGATTCCAGCTCTGATTTTTTTATGAAATCTCTCTGCTAAGCTCCTCCTGCCCTGCTTCTTTGAAAGACTGGAGTAGATATAAAAGCTGTGCTATTTAGAAACCCCTCCATGAAGGGTTCAACCTCAGTCATTGATACTGCAAAGTTCATTAGTTTTGCTTTAAGTGTTTAAATTTAGTCCAAATTAGAGAAGATATTAACTTAGGTTGGTAAGTAGATAGGTAAATACTGTATATAAATAAGAAATCTTGCAGATTGTATTCTAGTGTAACCTAAAGATTTTATCATTGTGTGTCATTTTGTTCAAGGAAAGAAGTAAAATTATGACAATGCATTTTACATGGTATTATATTTCATAGAGAAAAATCTAAAATTAATTGCTTAAGTGTGTAAATATTCCTCTTAGAGGATTCTCCGATTTTCCTGTAAATCATGATCATTAAAGCATTGGCTTGGAAAAAAGGCTTCAAGTAGAGAGTAATTGGGATATTAGATTTCTTTTAAACATACCAAAAAACAATGACATCTAAAATAACTCATAAATGCTTTAAGCCCAAGTTTTAATAGGATACTTTTTCAAAAGTCCAGGGGGCTGGGAATTTAGCTCAGTGGCATAAGCACCTTCCTGACAAGCACTAAGTCGTGAGTGCAATCCCAGGTACCAAAAAAAGAAAAGAAAAAAAGTCCGCATTTGGCAGCAATCCTTAAGGAAATTTACTATTTAAAACAAAAACAAACGGTCATGGTGGCCCGTGCCTGTAATCTCAATATGTGGCAGGCTGAGGCAAGAGAATTGCAGTGAGTTCTAAGCCAGCCTTGTATACGTAGTGAGTTCAAGACAGCCTGAAGCACATAATGAGACCCTGCCTCAAAAATACTACAAAAACAAAAAATAGTCTCTAAAGCATTTCATTATAGCACTCTGTTGTCAGTGTGGGACACACTGGGACTCGCTTTATGCAGAAGTTCTTAGTGATTTGCCCGTAGACCTTCACCCCACATTAGAGAAGAGTCCTTTCCTTCCAAGGCCCTCTTTAGAATCGGCACAGTCATTAGATGTGGCAAAGCTGTGCTTGGATGTCAGTTCACTGTATGCCCTTAGAAGGCACACAGTTACTGCCTGTTCTGAGCTTGTTTTTCTAAAATGGAGATTTCACTTGCTTTGTAATATCATAGTGATGATTGTTCATATAAAGTGTTTACCACAAGCTAGGCATGGTGGTTCATGTCTGTAATCCCAGCACTCCGGGAGGCTGAAGCAGGAGGATTGCAAGTTTAAGCCCAACCTGGGCAATTTAGCGACTTAGCAAGACCCTGTCTCAAAATAAAAAGTATTAAAGGAGTGGAGATATAGGTCAGTGCTAGCTCCTGAGTTCAATCCCCAGTACTTTAAAAAAAAAAAAAAAAAAACATGCTTACTGTAGTCCCTGGCATATTAAAAGTCCTCTATGTGTGACGGCAAATACCTCTTCCTTCCAGGAAACAGTACCAGATATGACCTGACCCCTGTCACGGCTGTCAGCGTCCACTTACTAAGCAGTAATGGAACCCCAGTGCTGGTGGATGGTCCCATCTACGTCACCGTGCCCCTAGCCACACAGAGCAGCCTTGGGCATAATGCCTATGTCGCAGCGTGGAGGTTTGACCAGAAGCTGGGTGAGTGAGGATTCCGCATCACAGTGGGCCAGCAGGTGACTTCCATTCCACTTGGCTTTCCTCCTAGGAACCTCGTAGAAATCTCCCTTCCTTGCAAGTACTGGACACTGCTGTTCACGGTGTGCTATACATTCTCGCATGGGAAAATTTACTCCACCATGCTGTTCAGAAACTCACTTTGTTGTTGTTATTTTTTTAATTTCTGTACATTTAAACAAATTAACTTGGGAAGATTCTAAGGATTATGATAGCTAAAATTCCTTATTCTTCAGAAGATCCTGTGGTTTCTCTTGATTATCTTGGCTTATGGAAAAGGAAAAATAATTGACATTATGCAATATAAAATAAAAATTTCCCATGATCCTATCACCTAAAGGAAATCATGAATATAGTATGAAATCTATCCTAGTCATTTCACTGTGCACATGTGTATTGGTTATGAATGGCTACCCTAGAAATTATCCTAAAGTTTAGCAGCTTAAGAAACAATAACTATGAACTATCTTTCAGTTTTGGGGGGTCAGGAATTTAGGCCCAGCTGAGCTGAAGGGCTCAGTTTCAGAATCTCTAGAAAGTGATGGTAAGGCCAGCAGTCAGACTGTGGTGGTCAGCTGGCACAAAGTTCAACAAAGGTCAATAAGCATGCTTCAAGACACATGTGTTACAGGAGCTCCTCCATTCCTTACCAGCTATTGGGCAAAGACTTCATTTTCTTACCATATGGGACCCTCTGTGTAACTACTTATAGCATGGCAATATGCTCTCCATGCATGATCCAAAAGAAAGGAAAAAAATAAAATAAAAGATTAAAGCCACAGTACCCAAAACAGAAGTCATCCTAAAGATTGTCTTCCATGTGCATTTTAACAGAAATGAGATTATTTACTAGACTCTAGTCTGTAATTTGTTTTTAAAAATCATTAGAACAGCATAAATATTTTTATAATGTTATGCTCTGCAACATCAATTTTAGTGAGTGCATGCTATTTCATTATATGGCTATATTATAATTTAGTTCATCAACCCCTTAAGACTAAAAAAAGTTACTATCCTAATGCCCTGATAAATATCTTCATAACTAAATCTTTTTTTCACAGCTGTGATTACTTGGCGGGGAGGGGGATTTCTGTGTGTCTTTGGTTACCTGTTCCATGAAAGTCAAATTGGAAATACAAGTTTTTAAATAAACTAATTTGGAATCAACCATTACATAAAGGTTAATGGGAGGCTTTATATATCAAGTATATTTTCTAAGACATTTAATCCTTAGAATCAGTTCTAGAATTAAGAAAATAAATAACTATTAAATTATTTGGATTTGGTTTGGTTTTACTTTCCAATTAATTAATATAAGATACCATAATTATTTTAAAATTGCATTATTTTATAAGATGCACTGAGCTTGACATTTTTAGGATTGTGACACCAAAGTAACATAGCCTGTATTAGATATTTCTTGGTTGTGTCTTTCATGAATTAATAATTTTGGAGAAAAATCAGTCATAGTCATGCCAGGCCTATGTGACAGACAACTTACAAAACCTTAAGTCCCATCTTGGACCATCACTCACAAGTTTTTTCTCATTTGTGAGAAGCATGCATTTTCAGATACTCATTTTTGTAGTTTAGATCTAAAATGTCCCTAAAGTTTCATGTGTCAGGGGTGGGGTTTTTGGAAGGTGACTGGGTCATTTGAGGCACTATGCTCATAACCAGATCAATGCATTATAAGTTCATAGCTGAATGTGCTGTTACAAAGTAGGTGAGTCACTCGGGATGTGACCTGGAAGTGTGTATTTTTATTCTGGTGTCTCTCTTCTCTCTCCCTTCTCGTTCTCTCCTGCCATCCCTTCCATATCTGCCTCACACTTTCTCTCTCTCTCTCTCTCTCTCTCTCTCTCTCTCTCTCTCTCTCTCTCTCTCTCTCTCTCTCTCTCTCTCTCTCTCTCTCTCTCTCTCTCTCTTCCTCTCCCCTTCCATTCCCAGCTGTCATAGGTTGAGCAGCTTTCCTCTACCAGACCCTTCTACCATGTCATTTCTATCTCAAAGCCATCTGGATATAAATTTGGCCCTCTGAAACAATTAGCCAAAATAAACCTTTCCTTGTAAAATGCAACATCAAATATTTTTGTCCCAGCAGGAAAATCACTAATACAGAAAACTGGAACCAGAAGTGGAGCCATTGCTGTGACTGTATCTAACCATGTAGTTCTCACACCTTTGGAAATGGTTCACAGGAAAAGTTTTGAGATGCATGCTAGAGAAGCCCTACAATGCTATAAGCAGAATCAAAGACCAGAATACTTACTGGAATGTGGACAGTAAAGCCAAGGCTCATGAGGTTTCAGATGGAAACAAGGACTCTATTGGAAATTGTACAAAGGGGCCATTCATGTTACATTCTGACAAAATACTTGTGTTCATCTCACCCATGTCCTAAGACTTTTTGTGAAGCTGAATTTAAAGGTGGCAGATTCATTCATCTGGCAGAGGAAATTTCAAGGCAACCCAGAATACACTGCTGGCCACTATATTGAGAATTCAGAGAAAAAAAGCAGAGCTGAGAGATACAAAAATTTTGCAGATTGACCAGAAAGGCAGCACATGTAAAGAGGCCAAAGAAAGCATGGTTACTGAAAACATTAGTATTAAGCTGTAACTCCAACACTTAAGAGGCTGAGGTAGGAGAATCACCATGAGTTCAAAAACAGCCTGGGATACATACTGAGTTCAAGGCCATGGCAAGACCCTGTCCAAAAAAAAAACCTAAAAACTAAAAATGTGGCATTAAAAAGAAGTAAAGTACTTTGCACCAAGATGAAGGAAAGATATGTTGAAAGCATCTCAGGAAATGGCCAGAGCCTACTTATCACAGGCTCAAAAATATAAAAAAGTAAATCCCATGAAAGATTTTGTTTTGAGAAGAGACCCTGGGATACCTGCTCAAGAAGGACCTCCTAAGGAGTTGGCTCCCAGGATTCATTTCTGTGCTAAGCCATCCTGGGACTCCAGTCATAGAGTAGACCATAGTACTCTACTGTGGACCAACAGCCATAGTAGCCATGGTCTAAAGGGGTCTGGGTACTTATCAAGCTGGCAGCCACCCTTTTTTTTTTTAATTTTATTTAAGGAGAAAAAGAAAAGAAACAGAAAAAGAGTTCAAGTTATACAGAATTTCAAAAAAATAAACAGTAGGAAGTCACTAGTTAATAGATTACATTGTCATCTTACAAATAGTTGTTCAAGTTATAAATTTAAAGCATATAAAGTGGACATTCAAACAGTGAGGCTGCAAACAGTTCTGTTCAATGATCCAACAAAAACTCAGTAATATGGTTATTTATCTTATATGCTTAAATATACATGCAGTTATATCCTTTAGAACACTTTCTTTTCCTCTCTTTTTTACAATGACAATTATACATTTTGGGTTTTATTACTCCCACAGTTCTTATTACTTTTTTTGAAGAGAATAAAATCAAATGTGACATAACAAAACAGTCAGTCAAATAAAATGGACATAGTACATAATGTAAAAACAGAATACAAGGTGATCAACAATGGTTACCATAATGCCTCTTGCTTTCTTAAAAAGAATTGCCTATATCTTCAGTTATAATAAAATTGAAGAAAACAGTAAAGAACAAAACCAATAAAACCAAAACATTGGAGATATTACAGGACTTCAAAAGAAGATAATAGTCAAACCAGAATGGGCATCATAGTGAATCTTATTGTCTTCACAATTGTTGCCTATGCTCTCAAACTTGGTACTATCAAGCAAAACAGAATAGAGTAAAATCAGTCAAAACAAGCTGGTGAAAGCAATACAGGGTTTCAAATCAAGCTAATAGGAAATCAAAGTGGGTTACTATAATATATCCTGCTATTTTTAATTTATTTTTCCCTTAATTAAAAAGATAAAAATAAATAATAAAAAAAGGAGATTGAGATAAAAGAGAACATAACAACAAAACAGCACAGGTCAGAACATAACCATTTAAGGAAAATAGTGTTTCACCACAAAATATCCCGACATAAAAGTAGTTACTATAGTGTCTCTTCCCTTGAAATCTTTGAGTATAACTTCATATACTGTAGCATCAAACATATCAAGACAATGTAAAACCACTCAAGAGAATGACAGTATTACAGGGTATTTAGAATCAATTAACAAAATGAACAATGGTTTCTGTATTATCTCCTTGTCTATAAAAGTTTTTGTTTATATTATCACAAATAATAAAATCCAATAAGATACAAGATGTTAAGACTGATGGAGATAGAAGAACAAAAGCTTGATGGGACTTCAAAACAAGATGATACTAAATCAGCACTAGCTATTATGATGTCTTGTTTTCTCCAAAATAGCTGTTAATACCATCCAACCTTCTCTGCCTCATTTCTGTTGAGCTCTTTTTCTGTCATTAGTTGTCAGTTTGTCTTCTTCATTTTGCTTTCTGCTCCATTCATTGTGGCCTTTCTGCCACTGTTTCTGGAATCTTGGTATTTTTCTCTTTTAGAATGTCCTGCAGTATTCTTTGTAGAGTTGAGTTGGTGGTTGCAAATTCCCCTAGTTCCTCTTTATCCTGGAAGCACCTTGTTTCTCCATCAATTTCCAGGGATAGTTGTGCGGGATATATCAATCTTGGCTGGAGATTATTATCTTTCAAAGCTTGAATTATTTCCCCCCACGCTCTTCATGATTTGATGGTTTGTGCCAAGAAGTCTGCTGTAATTCTGATGGGTGTTCCCTTGTAAGTGATCTGTTTCTTGTCTCTGACAGCTTTTAATATTCTGTTCTTATGTTGGATTTCTGGAATTTTGAATATTATATGCATGGGTGTAGTTCTGTTTGGGTTGAAGGTGGCTGGGGTCTTGTATGCTTCATACATCTGAGTATCTTTTACCTTTTCCCATATTAGGGAAGTTCTTGATTATTTCTGTGAATAGCCTTTGTAGTTCATTTGCTTGTACCCCTGCTTCTTCTTTTACATTCT